CACACACACACACACACACACACACACACACACACACACACACACGTCTGCTTCTTTGGCCTTCCTATTTTCCTCCATGTCTTGCTTTCCTCTGTCCAAGTGCCTTAAGTGATTCAGATAAACTGACAGACACAGGCAGGCTGTGGCTCTGTTCACATGGCCCATCTCAACGAGTCAATGAAATGCACTCCTACATAACTCAGTCCATTGATCACCTCACACCAGGCTTCATAGAAACAAAGAAGCAGGGAGTACTGCTTGGCCCAGGTGTTTAATCTTAGAAAATCACATTAAAAGGGGAGGATACGCGGAGAACAGGCTGTGGTTTGTTTCCTAGCCATTCCTAAAATGAAAACACGGCTGCAAAGGCACTGGCATGTGCAGGAAACCATGTCAGAGCCGAGTCATTAGAAGGGATGCCAGTCTTTCTTACTCTGTCTCGCTGGAACTTCTAACATGTCACAATAAGCATGGATCAGCTTTGTGAAAGCTACTCTCCTGCTGGCCTGTTGACTTAGGAGAAAAAAGCCACATACCGGCAGGATCTTGGGCTGTCACATCCACACCATGTGCAACCATGGCCCTGAGGCATTCCACGTGTCCCTTTGCAGCAGCAAGATGAAACCTGCGAAGAGAGAAGCAGAGCGGCCGTCAGATTTCCACTCTCGAGCGCTGTCCTGGCCTTTCACGCGCTCTCTCACTCGTGCTTCCCAACATTCAGGGAGAAGACATTATCAACTTCACGTTATTATGACTTCGTTTACTTTAAGGAGAACCTTTGTCAAGTCTTGCACAGGACAAAGCCAGGATGAGGACAAAGACACCCCGTCCGGATGAGGGAGGCCATTGGCACACTGGCTTCCAAGAGTGTGCTGATTGAATGCCATTGGCACACTGGCTTCCAAGAGTGTGCTGATTGGAGCAACAAGCCCACATGGAAGAAGCACACCAGACGGTGCGATCGTGAGGTGTCATCGAGACTTGGCAACAGGCATCAGAAGAGTCACAATAAACAAAAAATGCATTGGTGAGGATGGAGGGGGGGCTTGGAGTGGAGACCCCAAAAGCCCATCTGTGGACAATGGAGCATCCCCCCACAGAGGGGTCACAGGGAGGGGATGAGTCAACCAGGGTGCAGTAGAGCACCAATGGATCACGCAACATACCTCTGACCCGTTAGGGCCTCCTCACCCCCCACTGTCATGACCCCAGTGCCGCTTCCCACTCTGGACTAGACAGGAGCATGTACATAGGTCTAGGCAAGAGATAAAAGACTCAGGGCACATGAAACCCAGGAACAGGAATGGGAATAGCGATACCCGGAAAGGGGGGAGAGGTGGGAAGGAGGGGGCACCAATCGCAATGAGTGGCACATAACCACGTACCTCCATCCAGGGGGAAGAACAACAGAAACCAGAGGGGAAGGGAGACAGCGGTCGGTGTGAGATTTGAAGATAATTAACAATCTACAATCTATCAAGGGGTCATGAGGGTTGGGGGTGGGGGAGGGAGGGGAATCAAAAAGAGGAGCTGATCCAAAGGGCTCAATGGAAAGTAAATATCTAGAAAAGAACAATGGAATATATGCACTAATATGTTGGATACAATTGATGTATGGATTGTAACAAGAGTTGTAAGAGCCCCCAATAAAATGAAGAAAAAAAGGATAAACAAACAAACAAAGAGGTGCTGAGATTCCGCCACTTAGGGCACGGGAGAGCAAAAGAAATCATCACAGAGGATGATTGGTGGCAGATCAACACATCACAGTCACAGGTGGGACTAGGGAAGAGGGAATGGGATATGTACATCATGTTAGAAGAGCTTACAGGATTGGTCCAGGGCCTTCTGACCATGACAGTCAGGGCATGGCACATGGCACATACGGGCGACCCAGTATGGCAGTCTCCATCAAGGACAACCAGGCAAGCGCCTCAAGGGCAGTGCCCCTCCTTTGGCTGGCTCCTGTGTGTGTGAATCTACTTTCTAATGCAGTCTGAGCGCAAGACTGTAATACGCCAAGCTCATTTTAAAGAGGAGAAAACGGACTCAATGGAGTTTGATCCTTTATTCAACGTAATTTCTTTAAGGACACTTACTAAGTGATGGTGCATAAACTTAATCTTAAGTCTTCTGGAAAGAAATCAGAAGATTTAACTTTTTAGTTTTTTGTTTTTTTTTGTAATGAAGCATCAGTAGTTTAAAAAAAAACCCAACTAGATTTAATTTCTAAAATTAAATCTAATTTTAATTTCTAAATTAATTAATTAACTTTAATTTCTAAAATGATATACACTCCATTAACTTTGACACAGCGGCTGTCACGATGGGTGTGGACATGCGATCTGTGAGGATGGCTGCCGACTGGCAGTGTTTCATCTTGCGCACAGAGGCGTAAATCAGAATCGAGTCAACAGCACCTACCAAGAGCATCACAACAGTGCTAGCCAAAAGCTATTGAGGAGACTCAACAAACAGAACCATGTCTAATTCAAAGAATGATACACCTTCACAGACAGCATCAACCCCAAGTTCATTTTTGTTTTGCAGCCAAACAGTCGCTGCATGCAACATGAGCCCCATTCGTCACCGAGCCCCTTCCCCATAGGACATCCATCCATGGTTTTCCTCCTGGAAGGAATCTTGATGAGTGCTGGAACCCATGCTGCATTTATGAGTGGTTCAAACGGGAGACACATTTGATAAGGACACATTACCGTAAGCTATATAAATTTAACTAAACAAATTAACTATACAGAATGGAATCCTAACTCATGGCCATTGAGTTAACACTAGCTGAAAGTGACCTTACAGGACAGGATAGAACTGCCCTGATGAGTTTCCAAAACTAACTACTTACAGGAGTAGAAAGCCCCATCTTTCTGCCACGGAACCACTGGTGGTTTTGAACTGTCCACCTTGCTGATGGCATCCCAATGTATAACCACTACACCACCAGGGCTCCTTATAGAATATGATAAGAGACTTCAAAAACGCTTCATGATTATCTTTAGTCAAACGAGGGGCTGGCTTCTAAACTTTAAGAACACACCTCTCAAAGGGCAGTCTACCGATTTCTTACAAAGCTTAACACAGGGTCGCCATCTGATCCAGCAAACTCACTCCTTGGTATTTACCCAAATAAATGAACCTGTTATGTCCAAATAAAAACGTGCACCCGAATGGGGGTAACAGCTTCAGAGATAATCACCAAACACTGGAAGCAAGCCAAGATGTCCATCAATCGGTGAATGCAGAAACCATGGTACCCCCACACACTGGAGCCTTATTATTCAGCCACAAAAAGAAATGAGCCATCAAGCCACACGAGACCATGGCAGTATCTTACAGACACTGGCAGTGAAAGAACCCATATGGCTAGTAGCCGTATGATTCCAACGAGCTGGCCTTCTGGAAGAAGCAGGACCATGGACAGTGGGACGCTCAGTGGTTGCCAGAAGGCTAAGGAAGGGATGAGTAGGTGGAGCTCAGGCCATTGTCACAGCCTGGTTCACGATGCTATTGTCATGGAGGACACAGACATGGTTTGTCAAAACCCATAAAACTGTACCACATAAACTGTACCACATAAAAAAAGCAGGTGTTGTGAGAATGATGAAGTCAACATATGTACTAATGTGCTGGACACGAATGATGTATGTACGGATTGTGATGAGTTGTATGAGCCCCTAATAAAATAATTATTTAATAAAAAATTTAAAACAAACAAAAACAAAACAAAACCAAAAAAGCAAACTCTAATGTAAGCTGCAGGGATCTGACAGCAGTTCAAGCCAGAGTCAGAGGAGGACCTGGAACAAGGGATGTCATTAATGATGTCAGAGGGATCTCGGCTCAAAGCAGAGAATATGTTGATTTGCAGAGACTGGAAATCTGTTGACTTGCAAAGACATTCGACCTGTGAACCACAATCAACTGTGGATAACCTTGAGAAGAATGGGAAGTCCAAAACACTTCACTGTGCTCATTCGGAACTTGTACCTGGATCAAGAGGCAGCTGTGTGAACAGAACAAGGGAACACTGCATGGTTTTAAGTTGGGCAAGGTGGGCAGCAGGGTTGTATTCACTCACTATACTTGTTCAACCACATGCTGAGCAAATCACCAAAAAAGCTGGATTATATGAAGAAGAGTTCGGCACCAGGTTTGGAGGAAGGCTTATTAACAACCTGTGATAGGTAGATGACACAACCTTGCTTGCTGAAAGTGAGGAGAACTTGAAGCCTTTGTTGATGACGATCAAGGTTTGCAGCCCTCAATGTGGATTATAATTCATTGTAAAGAAGACCCAAATCCTCACAATTGGACCAATAGGTAACATCAGAATGAAGGGAGACAAGGCTGAGGTTGTCAAGGATTTTGTCTTACTTGGATCCACAATCAATGCTCATGGAAACAGCAGTCAAGAGATCCAAAGGACATGTTGCATTAGTAAATCTGCACAAGACCACTTTATATAGAGTACTGAAGAGAAAAAGATGTTACTTTGAGGACTAAGGTACGCTTGACCCAAGCATTGCATCCTATGCATGTGAAAGTAGGACAATGAATAAGTTAGACTGTAGAAGAACTGATGCATTTGAATTGTGGTCCCGGAGAAGAATATTGAAAGTACCATGGTCTGCTAATAGGACAAACTACGGAAAAACTAAGGCCAGAGTGCTCTTTAGAGGCAAGGGTGGTAAGACTTCTTCGGACATTCTTTGGACATATTATCGGGAGAGACCAGTCTCTGGCACAGGACATCAAGTTTGGTAGAGAGGGGTAGCAACAAAGAGGAAGGTCTTTGATAAGATGGACTGATACAGTTGCCGCATCAATGGGCTTAGGTATAGGAACCATTATGAGGATGGTGCCGGACTGTACAGTATTTAGTTCTGTTGTGTGTAGGGTCGCTATGGGTTGGAGCTGACTGCATCACACCAAACAACAACAACAACAACAACAACAACAACAATGTAAGCTATCCTGTTGAGACATTCCTACACATTGCCAATTCTGGAAGGGCTCTGGTGACCTAGTGCTTTACGCATTAGGCTGCTAACTGCCAGGTCAGCAGATGGAAACGTCCAGCCATTTATCAGGAGAACAATGAGGCTTTCTGCCCCTGTGAAGATTCATGGTCTCAGGGGGTAGTTCTATGCTGGGTTGCGATGCTGGTTGGGACCATGGACTTGATGGCAGTCAGTTTAGACAGTCCATGTTGACTCATCCCAGCCCTCTAGCACAGTGGAGAACTGTCCCCAGGGTTTCAAGGCTTTACTCTTTACAGAGGCAGACCGTCATAACACTCTCCCAGGGAGAAGCTGAATTCAAACTCCTGACCTTTCAGTTAGCAGCCCCGCGCTTAACCACTGTGATACCAGGCTTGCTCTACTATGTACACTATGTATACTACGTACCTGGCGCCGTCCAGGTGATTCCAACCACAGTGACCCTATGTACCACAGAACGTCGCCATTGCTCGGTCCTGTGCCATCCTCACAATCGTTCCTACATTTGAGCCCGTTGTTGTTACCACTGGGCCCATCTCGTGGAGGGTCTTCCACTTGCCTGACCCTCCACTTGACCAAACACGATGTCCTTTTCCAGGGATTGGTCTCT